ATAATGCTTTCATAATAAGTGAAGTAGTGGAACCAACCTTATAGGGTTAATGTACTTAATGATTCAGTGTCTATAGTATACAGGGCACAGAGTGAATGCTGAGAAAGTGATCACTATAAGCAGTATTGGCATTAGTATTATTTTTGGCTATTGCTTATATTTTCATCTTATGGGGGCTATTGAATACTGATACTTTGAGTTTGTTTCTGTATATCTTCTTCTCATTCCTTAATCTTTTTGTTTTCTTAGTAATCAAATGATTTTTTTCCCCTGAGGGTTTTTTTTCAATAGGGGTTACATTTCTTAAATTATTTACACTCTCCCTCCCCATTTTAAAATACCTTCCAAAGTTAGATGAAATTTCAGGAAAGTGCTATATAACAGCAATTTAGGAGTTATAATTTGGCATGTCCATCTAAGTCTCTACTGCTCCTTGATCAGAGTCACGCCTTCCATCAGTATCCAATTCCATCTGCCCCCCCATTTCTTCATTTTTGCTGTTCTCTTTACCACCTTAAGCTCTACTTTTTCTTTCTTGACTTATGACCCATTGAATTAAACATTATGTTCCAGATGTGGATACAAAAGTTTTTCTTTTCAAAATTAAGATAACGTGTTATTTTATTTCTAGTCTATTTTCTATTGCTGCACAGAATGTCTTTGGCCTTTCTGGCCAAAATGGCACTGTGAGCCAAAATTATTTGGGAAATAACTTCAACTTCTAGATCACATTCTAAATCCAGAGGTAATAATACATTTCAATTATATAGGTTTCTTTTTCTGTAAAAAGTTGAGGTGGTGTATGCTTCTAATTTCAATACTCAGGAGGCAGAGGTAGAATGATTGCAAGATCAAGGCCAGCCTGGGCTACATAGTAAACACTTGTCTCAAATTTTTTTTTGCCTTACTGAGAAGCTCTATTGTTTTCTCACACTCCTAGTTTTTTTGTTTTGCCATTTATATTATGTCATTTTGACATTTCACTACTGAGAGTAGCTCAGTGCCAGCTACACATACAGAAATGCCATTATGTTTACCTTATTGTACATCATTCATAATCTTCAATAAATTGAGGCCTTTGGAGATCTCAGTATTGACATTGCTCCATCCAGAGAAGCACCCAGATTTTCGTATGCTTCAATTAACTCTGTAACAATTAGCTTACCTTTTGTAGAAAAATGTTTCCCCAACTCCCAAAGGGACTCATTTAACAGCAAAAAGTCAACAACATGGAAGCTTGTCAAAGGCTTTTTTAAAGTCTTCGTAAAATGTTCCTTCTGTCCATATGTTATTTACTCCCTTGAGAAGTCCTAACATATTAGTCAGACATGATTTTTCCTCATAGAAGCCCCATGCCTCCCTCCCTTTCCTTCTAAAAGGTTGTGTTTACCATGTCTTCAGATTTTATTATTTGACCATAAAATAATGGTTCAGAGATTCTCAGATTTTGCCTTTTAAGATATATTTTCATAAAACCATTAAATGTTAGCACTGGAAAACATCTTAGAGATGGCTTAATTCTCTTCATTTTACTACCAAGGAAACTGAAGCCTAGAAATATTTCTGACCAACTCAAATTTTCTTATATTTATCTTTTAACAATTTCAGGGACGTGAAGGTGTGGCTCAAATGGCAGAGTGCCAACCTTGAATGAAAAAGCCGAGAGAGAATGAGACCCTTAGTTCACGTCCAGTATCAGTACACACAGAAAAGATTTGATCCCCGCTCTGGTGGCTCACTCCTGTAATCCTAGCTACTCAGGAGGCTGACATCTGAGGATGGTGGTTCAAAGCCAGCCTAGGCAGAGAAGTCTGAGATATTTATTACCAATTAACCAGCAAAAGCCTGAAGTGGAAGTATGGTGGTAGAACACCAGTCTTATGTAAAATAAGGCAAATGAGAACATAAAGCCTTGAGTTCAAGTCTCAGAGCATATTGCGTGCACATGCACGTGGGCGCGCACGCACGCACACACACACACACACACACACACACACACACACACACACACACCAATTTCAGTAAAAATCTTTTTCTGGATTTGCTGAAACGTTTGGGAATATATTTTTTTCCCCTGATGTCTCAAATGGGAGGAATTTTTCTTCCCATGGAAATATACAATAGATACAATTTATAGGAAAAATGTCTCCAAGAATTGCAAAGTATAAAAATTGGCTTCTTAAAATTTAACTTTATTGGGCTGGGAAGGTGGCTCAGTGGTAGAGTACTTGCCTTGCATGCCTGAGGTCCTGGGTTCAATTTCTCAGCACCACATAAGCAGAAAAAAGCCAGAAGTGGTGCTGTGGCTCAAGTGGTAGAGCGCTAGCCTTGAGCTGAAGAGCTGAGGGACAGCGCCCGGCCCAGAGTTCAAGCCCCATGACCGAACCCCCCCCCCAAAAAAAAAAGAAAGAAAAAAATTTAACTTTATTGTCATACGCTCACATACCTCACAACTAAGCTTTATTTATGTATTTTTTTTTTTACTATTCTGTTTAAGAATTCTATCACCAAAACATGCCTACTCTTATCCAAATCACATTGTCAAACTTATCTAGTGTTTACTATGTGCCAGGCACTGTTCTAAGCATTTCATGTCGATCCTCATGGAAAGTTCAAATGTGTGCAATGTGAATCTTCAGTGCAGGGAGATAAGGAAGTGCATACCTTTGGAGGGGGCGGGGATGACTGAATCAATACCTAGTGTTCAGGTAGTATGCTTTGGCTTGTCCTGGGTGATAAATACATGAATAGATAACTTTGTGAGAATACACTGAGCTGGTGCTCACAAGATTTTTCCAGCTTTCAGTAGTTACTTTAGAAGGAAAAAGAATCACTCATTTAAGCCTTTATATCGACTTGATCAAGTATGTATATTTACAAGAAAATTATCTAGCTGAAAATCACAGAGCTAGTTTGTGGACAAAAGTAGGATTTGGCATTATGTAGTCTGGCTCCAAGATCTGTGTTCCTAACTACTACACTACATACCACGTCTCAGAAGAGATTGTTCTCAACAGCAAGTTGTCTAATCCAACAACTTTCTATTTGGTCTTAACTTCATGTATTTATATCTTATTTAATATTCACCACCAGGATTTGAGGTAGATATTAATAATCTCCATTTTAGAGATAAAGAAGAGGAAATACAGTCACAGCTAATAAGTCCACAAACAGCTAATAAAGTCCATAAGACAGCAAGCCTTTTTGTGTCCTTCCCATTAAATTGGACTGTCTCTAAAATGGATGTCTTATTGCCTGCTTTAGAGATAAAATATCAAAAGAAAAGTAAATAATGTTTGTAAATATATTTTCAAATATATTTTATAGAGAGAATATATATTCTCTCTCATGTATTAAATACCATAATATAGGTATATCATATGTTAATTTTATTAACAATCACATATTATATGCTATATAAAATATACAATCTGTAACATAATTCACACATTATATATGTCTGAATTATAATCTATAACATATATTCATACATTATATATAAAATGTAACATATATTATATGTTGCATATTAGAAATGTTATATATATAATATATTGCTTATATTAATATATGCTATATATTATAGATATTAAAAAGGTCTTTCTGAATAAAAGTTCCTATTCTTTATAAACAATACAAAACTGCTTTGTGGTGGAGGGGAAATACATCTTAAACAACAGTACTGATCAGTGCATTCCTCTCAATACAATGGACCCTTACACACATGTTTTCCTTAATCTCTACCTCAGAAAGCAGTGAAGGAAAAATTGGTTCAAAGATCTTATCATAAAATTTTGCGCTAAAAATGCTGTGATTAAATGATATTAATGATTAGATAAATGAAATTAAATTCCAGGTTCTCAGAGACCCATGGTCTTGCTGAGGAGTCTTATCTACTAGTTATGACTGTTTCCAGTACTCCAGATTGAGATAACAAAGCATTGTCCCATCCAGGCCTTATAATCAGTGTCAGTGTAGGGATGAAAAGCATAAATTTTGATACCAGACTCCATGGGTTCATTTCATAAAATCAGACAAAACTGTCTGATCTTATTTTATTTTATTTTTCAAATTACATTTTAATGATTTCTTTCATAATGCACCAAATTAAAATTTAAAAGCCATACACATTTTCTACTCTTGAACTTAGAGCTATAGACAAAACTGTCTGATTTTAAAACAAAAAAATATAGACCTGCTGGGTGCTAGTGGCACATAATCCTAGCTACTCGGGAGACAGAGCACTGAGTTTTGTGGTTCAAAGCCAGCCCAGATAGGAAAGTTTGTGAGACTTTCATCTCCCATTAACCACCAAAAAGCCAGATGTGGAGCTGTGACTCAAGTGGTAAAGTGCTTTCTGTGAGCAAAAAAGCTCAGGGACAACCACCAGACCTTGAATTCAAGCCTCAGGACTAGTACCAAAAACAAAACAAAACAAAACCTAGAGAGAGAGAGAGAGAGAGAGAGAGAGAGAGAGAGAGAGAAAGGGGGGTGGGAGGGAGGGGAGAGAGAAAAACTAGGCAGTTAAATTCAAATATTCAAATAAATACGTCACATGAAGAATTATACATTATTTATTGAAAATTTAAGTTGAATGGCTCATTCTATATTTCATCTAGCAACCTGATCTTGGAGTTGAGTTTGCTTGTGCTTTAGTTTCTTCATCCATAAAATGACAATGATATGATAATAGTACCTAGCTCTTGGAGTTGTGGTGAGCATGCAATGGGAATGGATATAAACTGAAAAAACGTGACACAGAGGAAGCACAATAAAAATAAGAGGTGTCATACCAAAATCCTTCATTTACAGTAACCCAGGTTTGACTTGAGCTTCTCTGTTTTTCTTTTTCTTTTTCTTTTTGGTTGGTTGTGGGGCTTGAACTCTGGGCCTGGGCGCTGTCCCTCAGCTCTTCAGCTCAAGGCGAGCGCTCTATCACTTGAGCTACAGTGCCACTTCTAGTTTTCTGGTGATTTATTGGTGATTTACCACTGAGCCACCTTCCCAGCCCGGGCTTCTGCTTTTAAATACACAAATGAAAGAATTACTTTAAATTTGACTTACTATGTGCAGATCCAAACTAAAGGAGGGCGAATGAAACTTTCTGTTAGGCATTCTCACTTCGAATCCTGCATTTTACAATGCAGACACAGTTGTTCTTTTCCTGCTGTTGTTCATACAAATGACCTTTCCATACAGAAATAACCTTTTTATGCTTTTAGAGTCTGGAGAAATAAAAAAAATGTATTGGTTTAAAAAGTACATTTCATGAACTAGGTCTATCCTTCACAATTTAGGAAACATCTATTCATTTCTCTATATTTGCATAGCAGGAATCCGTATATTGTCAGATACATAAGAAACATGAAAATTTAAGAGCTGAAATATTTCAGTTTTTTGTAACACCTGAGAAAAACCCAAACACATAATAAAAATGCAGTATACAAAACATTTAAAATATAACCTATTTGTATCTGCTTTCATGATTTCACATTGTAAATGCCTCTCCTTATTTTCACAATTTACGTGGAAAGCATGATTTATCTATGTTAATTTCAAGTTGGCATTTCGCCATTGGAATGCTTACCTTAACAGATGGTAAACTATGGGGATATATAAAGATTTACAAAAGGTCAATACCACAGGAAGAGTGAAAGAACCAGAACTGTATGGATCATTCTGAAAAAAAAAAGGAGAAATATTAACTAAAGTCATGGTGCACTCTCATAGCAAGGAAATATCATGATTCCGCCAGTAATCTGTGCTTTAGATCGCAATAAATTGTTCCTGTTTTTCTTTCCATTGTAGAAGACACTAACTTGGCTTCATGAAACCAGGCATGCATGTCATCTCCCACCTCATTTTCTTTTGAGTGTAGGAGGAGAAATATAATACAAACTGTTCTGGTGTACAATAATCTATTTTACAGTTGCACACAAGAAAACCATCTCAAAAAACTGGCAACAAAGTATTCAGATCACCACATCATTTCTATTCTATACTCTGTTCCTTTGTTTACTGTTACTATCATGCATTCAAAGAGCAATTCATGCATGTAAGTATACAGAAGAAATAGTAATATAATCTCGTGGACATGAGATTAACAATTACTATTTTGAAGAAGACAGTTTACATTCTGCAGATAGCTATGAGGCCAACAGATACAGGCAGCATTTGACTGGCCCAAATCAAGGCTAATTATTCAAGGAGTGGCTTTCTAAATGGGACGTGACCTTGCTTTCTATTTTTTTAAATGTCCTTTATTGACACTTTGCCATGAAGTTACAAAGGACTTATCTTGGCAATTGTCAAATCTATATTTGTAATAGGACCTTTTGCTATTTTCAGCTGCGTTCTGGACCTGTCCACTTAGCTATCATACAGGACCTTAAACTCTTGTTAGTCAGAATGAATGCCTTATCTTCCTTATCTTTCCCCCACTCCAGTCTTTCTAGAGGTCCAGGCTCATTTGCAGGCATCACTTGCCTGGTTTCCTAAGCTAGAAGTCTCTAGCACTTAAACTTCACCCTCTGGTCCTGTCTACATCCAATCAACTCATTGCTGTTGATTCCACCTTCAAATTGTTTCTGCAATCTATCCCCTCCTCTCTACCTTTTACCTCTTTATTGTCACAGCTATGAATTTAGTTAAATTCTCTCTCTCTCTCTCTCTCTCTCTCTGTGTGTGTGTGTGTCTGGGTATGTGTATGTGTGTTGGTCCTAGAGCTTGAACTGGGCCTGGGCACTGTCCTTGATCTTCTCTTTCTAGAGGCTAGCACTCTACCACTTGAGCCACATCACCACTTCCATCTTTTTCTGGGTAGTTTATTGAAGATAAGTCTCCCAGGCTTTCTTGCCGAGGCTGGCTTTGCATTCTGATGGTCACATCTCAGCCTCTTGAGTAGCTAGGATTACAGATGTGAGCCATCAACACCTGGCTTTCTCTTCTGTACTTTTATGATGATTGTGCTGACAGACTCTTAATAGGGTCCTTTGTTTCTAGTCTCTCCCATATCCTATTTAGTCTTTATGGGTCAAACAGAGTTTTCTTTCAAAAACAAAGAAAGAACAACAGATATCTGGCTAAGATTTCTCTGTTTCCTAAAACCCTTCAAGATTTAGGATCCTATGGGATCAATTCTGAATTTGTCAGAATGGCATACAAGACTCAGAGTGTGTCCTTTACTTACCTGCTAGCCTCATTGCAGGATTTCTAATGGACTGTGTTGTGCCTATTCAAACATAAACTTAAGGAAACCTTAGCATTTCTCTAAGCTAGTTTTTCTTAACGAAGAGTACACATTATCATTGTTGATGTTTATTATTAAGAAAGATTTTTTTGTGTTGGTACTAAGGTTTTAACTCAGGGCCTAGGGGCTGTTTTTTAGCCTTTTGCACTCTACTACTTGAGTCATAGCTCCACTTCTGGTTGTTTTTGTTTGTTTGTTTGCTGGTTAGTTAGAGATAAGAGCCACACGTCCTTTCCTGCCTAAGCTTGCTTCAAACTGTTATCCTCAGATCTCAGCCTCCTAGCAGCTAGGATTAAAGGTTTGAGCTACTTTTTTGGGGGGGGTCCGGTCGTGGGGTCTGAACTCTGGGCCTGGGTGCTGTCCATCAGCAATTCAGCTCAAGGCTAGCACACTCTACCACTTAAGCCACAGCACCACTTCTGGATTTTTTTCTTTTTGCTTATGTGGTGCTGAGGAATTGAACCCAGGGCCTCAGGCATGCAAGGCAAGCGCTCTACCACTGAGCCACCTTCCCAGCCCCGAGCTACTTTTTTAAAGAACTTAAAAATTAAATATAAGTGCCCTTTCCACATTTGAAAACTACACAGTTGGGATGTGAATAGATAGCAAAACTGGTTATTTGAACTGGGTCATGGGTGACAACCATTCCACATGCTTGGTTGTAGGTATTTGTTCAAGCCATTCTTTTGGAATGGCTTTTCTTCTTTCCCCTCTTCCCTCAATTTTCTACCTATCTCCTACTCACCTTTCAAAGCTTAGGCCAATACCACCCCTTCTATAAAGCCTTCCAGGACCTACACAATTAAAATGAATTGCTCTCTGGTGTTTGCTGTGGGAATGTTTTTAACAGTCTGCTACCATAATCTCTTATTATCCTGAATGTTCCTTACTGTTCAGGGTGTTATCCTATGAAAAACAAACTCCTTGCATTTCTTTGCATTCCCAGCACTGAGCCCACTGCCTAGCCTTGTGAGATAGAAAGGGCTGGCAGAGATAGGAAAAGTAAAAAGGAAAGATAATGTAGTTTAAAGAGATACAGTATAGAGAAGACAATCTGTCTTGTGTGTCTCAGCAAAAATTCTGCTACACTGTACATTTGAATTATCATGGGGGAGTTCGTCAAATAACACACTGAATGCTAACTAATCTTAAAATACAATACAGCCCAAGAAAAGGGAGTAGGATGGGAGCTTTGCCTATATTCTGTCCCCCAGAAATTTCTGGTAGTCCCTGATAACAGTTCTGTAAGCAGTGCTTGACATTCCTGTACTGTCTTCACATTCTCTAGGGCACAGCAGTAACAAGTATGGGAGCTTTCCCACAGGGTGACAGGACTCAGCGAAGCCCGTTGATGGGTGGTCATTTTACACAACTGCCTTTCTTAGAGGTCCTGGCACCAACTTCCTTTTCCTCCGTGTGAGTTGATGGCATAGTCACTTCCTATTTGGTCTCAACTGCCAGTTGTTTTTCCTCTTTTAAACTGCCACCTTTAACTAGAACTGTGCTCTCAAGAAGTCTGTGAATTAAAGAACAAGTGGTCAATTGAAGCCATTTAAAAAAGTCAAGTCAGTGGGGGGGGCGGGGGGAAGAATATCACCTAGATGGAGTGTAAAGCATCGTTTCATGGTAACCCAAGAAAAGGCTCTCCTGTGATTCAAAACTACACCCTGGGGAAGTCAGAAAGGTTACCTGACCTCATCACAAAGAACTAAGTCAGTCTCTCAAAGCTCTCCAGAGAAACACCCTTCAAGCTGCTGCCCAGAAGAAAGTTTCTTCACTTACCCATGTGGCAAGACAAAACTGTCATTATGGGATGACTGATGGAGTGCTTTTTTTTCCACAGCAAGGAAGGTGAGAACAGGAGCCCAGTGTAGGCTCTGAGGGCCTTCACCTTCAGAGCTCAGTAACTGAAGGTCAGCAGGGTGATTGTAACAGCATCGAGGCAGGCAAGCATCCCTGGAACCAGAAAAGGGGCTGGGACCACGCTAGCTTTTCTCACCTACCTCTACATTTGTGCACGAATGCCCAGGTCACAAGTGTGCCTCTCCACTGTGGAACCAATTGATGTCAGCAAGAAATTAGGAGGTTCAGTCTTTCAGTGCCTAAATGCAGTCATTGCAAAGCAAGTACGTGTATATGTAAAGGCTTGCTATAAGCAGGAAACTGCTTAAGCAGCATCTGCTTCCACCCACCTCCTCTGGTGCTCTATTCCCCTCAGTAGTGTCAGGAAGTAAAGCTCGTGAGAAAGTTCAGTTGTGCAGTTGTAGATGTTATAGTTTCTGTTATAAATGACAGTGCGGTAGAGTAGCCTGCAAACCCCAAAAGGTACAAAATTATTCCAGAGAATTCAGCAATTATACAAATTTAATGTTCCCCAACTAAGAACTGATTCAATAGGCTTTTTTGCTGGAGATGCTTTTCTGGGACCATAGCAAGGATACAACATCTGCAAGAGCTATTATTTTACAGTTTCCAATTTGATACCCACAGAGAGTAGAGATTGGAGGTATCACATATGCTTTTATTTAAAAAAAAAATCCTCGAATGTTGTACTTCCGTGTATCAGCACAAAATCAGAATCAAGATATTCCTGTTAGTGGATAGTATAACTCTAGAATTACCCAGATAATTTCCCTTCATTTCAAATATTCGAATAATAAAATGAAATTCACATCATTGTCTGAATTTGCCATTATATTTTAAACATTATCTGTTTTGCAATATCACCATTAAGCTTAAAATGTGGAAGCCCAAAATGTGAACCCTTACCTTTACATTCTCTAAAGCAGAGCAAGAGGTCACATTTATCTTGATGAGTTAACATATTTGAAGGCTCTTAGGTAATGCCTGGTACATTAGCACATACTCAGAGACTATTTGTTTAAGCCAATCAATTTCTTCCTTAAAGTTATTTTCTGTTCAATATTACTTTGAAGTAAAACATTCAAATGTCTTGTGTATGAGGAGGAGTGGGGGTGGATAACAAAAGCCTAGCATTTCTTGTCATTAAATTCATTTGTTGGGGACACGTGGCTTATGATTTATGCAAAAGTAGCAAAAAATATTGCTTCATTTTCAGTAATACTTGATAGGGCTCAGTGTCTTGTAGGTCTTTTTTTTTTCACCATAGATACTAAATTGAGTTGAAAATCCTTAAAGAAATTATTCCCAACTCTGTTTCTGGTTTAGTAGACTGACTCTAATACAAAGAATGTAGAGCATAGTGGTCAAATACAAGCACCATGTTATAATACCTTATGAAGCTACCAGAAAGCATATGATATATGGTCTTTCCTTGGATTAGGTAATGCTTTGTTGTCTGGATTGTCCTGTGCAGTATGATCGGCATTCCTGGATTCGTATCATCAGATACTAGTAGCATCCCCTCCTCATTTGTAATACCCAAGAATGTTCTCCAGAAGGCAAAATTGCTTCTGATTGAGAACTGTGGCCTAAATATATTATCTCACCATTGTCCCTAGTGTGTGCTCGTGCACATGTGTGTGTGGCTGCATGTGTGTGTGTGTTTGTGTTTCCTGGTACTAGAGTTTGAAATCAAGGCCCGTGCACTGTTTCTCAGCTCTTTTTTTTTTTTTTTGCTCAGGGCTAGCACTCTACCACTGGATCCACATCTCCACTTCCAGCTTTTTGGTGATAAATTGGAGATAAGAGTCTGATGGTCTTCTTTGCTTGGGCTCACTTTGAACCTTGATACTTAGATCTCAGCCTCCTGAGTAGTGAGGATTATAGGCCTGAGCCACTGTGCCCAATTTATCATTCTCCCTATTATAGTTTGGCCATTTCCTTCTACCTACACTTTTGCTGTAAACTTATCCATTTATTAAATCTTTATAAACATGGATAAAGTTAAATATTTAATATTGCAGGCATGATAAATATCAGGAAATTTAAAACATAGATGGTAAAATTAAGTTGATAAATTGTTGGGGTACTAAGAATTCACTGATTTTGCTTAAACTGTGCATAATCTTTATTTATGTAGTTATTAAGTATTCATAGCCAATGAGCTCATATGAATCGAGCAAGTACCAAATTATATCCAAGATGCTATGTTATACCTTATGAGGCTCGCAGAAAGAATATAATATATGGTCTTTCCTCAAGGAACTTTTTACATAAAGATGTGGAAATGTATTTGAATGTATAGGTTGAGCATACCTAATATGAAAATGAAACATCCAAAGCATCTGAAATGTAATATTTTCTTAGCTCCAATATGATGCTTAAAACATTTTGGATTTTGGATTATTTTAGGAGTTTGGATTATTTTATATCTGTTATTTCATAACAGAGATGCTCAATAAGTAACCTATGCAGCAAGCCTCAAATCTGGAACATTCTGAAATATGAAACGTTTCTGGTCTCAAATATTTCAGCTAGGACATATTCAACTTATGTTATTAGATTCTGAGTTAGCATTTCAAAATATTCAAGTGTCATGCGTGGAATCAGAGGATACTTGCTTTTTTAAAATCATTTTATATACATTAAGAATCTGAGCTAGTGGGCTGGGAAGGTGGCTCAGTGGTAGAGTGCTTGCCTTGCATGCATGAGGCCCTGGGTTCGATTCCTCAGCACCACATAAGCAGAAAAAAAGCCGGAAGTGGTGCTGTGGCTCAAGTGGTAGAGTGCTAGCCTTGAGCTGAAGAGCTGAGGGACAGTGCCCAGGTGCAGAGTTCAGGCCCATGACCGGACCACCCCCCCAAAAATCAACAACAACAACAACAACAACAAAAGAATCTGAGCTGTACGGAAGTCTAAAGGGCAGAGAGAAGAGTTCCTTCTGCTCTTGAAATTTTAATTGTGTTCAAATGCTGACAGCCTCACAAGATTTTTCACCTACAGCACAACATATATACACATATAATGATAAACCATAAGAAAACCCACAAAGAAACCCATGTAAAAATCCAAATGGTTTCTATCAATAAACAGATGGTTGTTAGTATCAGTACACTCAAATAAGGTAAGAAATTTGACTAGGCAGTGTCTTTTGGGAAAATCACATGACTGGCTCTTAAATAGTTGTAAAATTAAAATTTTCTAGAAAGAATCTAGGAGACAAAAATAAATAAGAGTATAACAGCTGGGGCTGGGAATGTGGCTCAGTGGTAGAGCGCTTGCCTTGCATGCATGAGGCCCTGGGTTCGATTCCTCAGCACCACATAAGCAAAAAGAAAAAAGCCAGAAGTGGTGCTGTGGCTCAAGTGGTAGAGCGCTAGCCTTGAGCTGAAGAGCTGAGGGACAGCGCCCAGGCCCAGAGTTCAGGCCCCACAACTGGACCAAAAAAAAAAAAAAGAGTATAACAGCTGGTAAAGTGACCAGTTTCAAAGGTCAGTAAGATCATTGCCTAGCAGTTCAGCCTGGCATCAATAAAGCAGAGTAGTTAGTGTATACCTAGTAAACCTTAGTGAATAATTCAAAGGCTGTACATTCATTCATTCATTCAATAAATATTTATTAAGGCCTACTATATGCCATGGTGCCTAGGCTCTGGAGATACAACAATGAACAAGATATTTGCCTTAGCCAGGCGGATGGTTTACACCTGTGATCCTAGGTACTCAGGATGTTGAGAACTATAAGGCTGGCAGTTGGAGGCTAGTCTAGACAGAAAAAAAATCCCTGAGACTCTTATGTCCAATTGACAAGCTAAGAGCTAAAAGTGCTGTTGCTGAAGTGGTAGAGTACCAGTCTTCAGCAAAAAAAAGTCAAACAAAAGTTTAAGGTCCATGAGTTCAAGTCCCAGTACTAGAACAAAAGAAAAAAGAGAAGAAAACCTTGGTCTCAGAGAGATGGTATTCTACTTGAATAGTTTTCCAACATCCTGTCTGAAGGACATAATTATCTTGGACAAATCACATACAATGCATAAGAAAAAAGCAGTACAATGCCTCTATCTATTAGCCATAGAAGGAGCACAAAGGCAGGCTTAGAATGGCTAGTAAGACTCAGTAAGACTCACTTGAGGTAGGTATTAAATGCTGGAATTGGATTTAGATCCCTGCTAACTCATTGTAGGCCTCAAGGATGGTCAGTATATGGACCACCTGGGAGCTTGTCAGTAGTGCAGACTGTTGGCTCCCTTCAGACTTAGGAGATCAAAATCTCCACATTGTAAGACACCCTTGGAGATTTGTGTGGACATTGAAGTTTAGATGGCACTGAAGATTGTGTGTTGGGCTGGGGAGAGAGAAATAGAGACCATATTAGGGATTCCCACCAGGTAAGGGCAGAGTAAGGAAACTATTATATATCCTTTATAATCTTTAATATCAGACAGAGACTACTAGAAGTAGTAAGCTGATCACCAGATGAACGGATCTGGTTGGAATTTGTCACTCTACCGTTTAATTGTGTCAGATTTGAGTTAAATTATATACTTGGCTGAGCATTTTTTTTCTTTTCTTCATTTGTTAAATGGGGGCAGGCAGTCCAACCCCAGAAGGCGTTTGTCAAGCTCGATCTAATAAGATAACGCATAGAAAGTACTTGGCGGCCCCTGGCCCAAAGACAATGACATCCATTAATAATATTATTGATAATAATCAGATGCTATTCTTGGAGAAACATAAAAAAGCAGTCACATTTATATAGAGTCTTCTCGAGCCACACTGAGCATATTGGGTGCACAGACCTCTAACAAACTGCAAGGTAGGGAACTTCATTCTCATTTTAATGAAGCACTTATAGTTTATTTTTTTCCAAAATGTAATTAACCTCTTTGGTGTTCCCTCAAGGTGCTTTCCTAATGAGATTGTTCTAAGTGCTATTATAATTGTTACTGTTGTTATTAGGGGACTCTCAAAAGAGTTTGTTTCCAGGAGTGGAACTTGAAATTGTGTGGGAGGCGGTGCCTGCTCTATTCAATAAGACCTACTGCTAATGATCCAATCTCATTTCCCTCGCCTCTATTACCCTCATTAAGTTTCTGCCGACATACCATCTGTTTTCCAATTTCCCTGTGCTTTACACGTGCAGAACGTTGGAAAGAAGCCCCGAACCAGGACATTCTCTCCCTGAGGGTCCAAGAGGTAGAGGTAGCCTTAGGTTGAAGTTGCCTGAAGCATGTCTGGGCGCGACGAAGCCCCAAAGCAGGAGAGCTGGCTATGAATCTACCCAGTGGTACGGCGTGTGGTTGGGGAGCCCGGAGAACGGGAAGGAGCTGGGATCCAACAACTTGGCGGCTCTCTGTGGCCCCACCCTCAGCCAGGTGGGGGAGCCAAGCAAAACTTCCAACACTCCCCCAGTTTCAAGTTAGGACGTCTGGGAGGTTGCACGCGCTCCAGACTCGCATGCCTGCCTGCAACGTGGCCGCTTGTGGGACGCCCTCCTAATCCCAGGCTTTCTCCAATTCTTTTCTTTCTGTTTCCAGGCCCGGCCGTTTTCCCAGTGTCTCAAACTCGGGGGGCTACTCCCCACGTGCCAGGAGAGTGTCCCAGTTGTCGGGCTCCAGAAACCCTAGCCAAAGCTCTTCGCTGCCTGGAGCCTACGCTCTTCAGACACTGCCCGGCAGCTGGGCGGGGGCAGGGCCAACGGCAAGACCGCCCCCAACCGCCTCCCAGGCAGGGCGAGCTGGCGGGTTGCTGGGGTGCCTCCACCTCCTCTTCCTAAAGCGGCGGGGCGCAGAAGAGCGGCATCACTCGAGCTCAGGTTCCAGCCGCCACCGCGCACTGAGCCCTACATTCAGGAAGAGGAGCAGCAGCGGCATCGGAAGTCACCGCGGCGGGCAGGTGACAGAAAGGTAAACTGAGTCCCACGGAGCCGCACTGAGCCACGATCCACTCACCTTCCCAGCCCGAGGCGGCAAGCCATCAATCAGCTCAGTAACCCCACTTCTCCGTGCTCTTTCAGGCCCCGATCGAAAAGCCTGGGAGGGCCGCCGACCTACCCCCGGAGGAGGAGCCAGTCTGAGCTCAAGGCGCCAGTGCAGGATCAGTGCCAGGGAGCCGTCGCCTCCATGGCCCACTCACCAGTGGCTGTTCAAGTGCCCGGGATGCAGGTGAGGAAGCCCAGGCCACCCCTGCCGCCCACGTGACTGCTTGGGAACTCGATCGCGCCCTGAGCTAAACAACTGGGGACCACTGGCGGGCAGCCCCAAAGATCCCCTGAAGGCAGGGCAGTACCTCTGGCCAGGTGACCCTGGAGTTGAGCTAGAAGTGTTTCCTGCCATGTAGGCTTAGATGGTGCTTTGCACGAGGAAGAAACGGAGAGGCTGGGGCGTACAACTGGATGGGGTTTATGACTCGAGGGTGGGGGGGGGCAGGAGTATAAAAATAGGCCAGAACTACAGACACCTGCACTTCGTGAGCCTAGTTAAGGTTGAAGATTGGGGGGGGGGGAGGCGGGGGAGAGAGACAACCTCGAATAGACTGAGATGTCTTAGAATTTGTGGGGGTAATGTGCAACTAGTACCCCCCAACAAGTTGGGGCGGAGCAACACAAGGGGTGGTGGTGGTGACAGTCACATTGAATTGGGTTCTTCCTGTGCGCGTTGAGAGAGCGAAGAGCGAGATGACTTCTTTTCCCCTTCGGTGTTGCTGCTTCGGAGAGGAGTTACATCTCTCTCCCCGACCTGGCCCAGCTCCTTAGTAGCGTGAGAAATGGAGGGTCGTGTTCTCACTGGCCGAGGAAATGACCTCCCATCCCCCTCTCCCTGCCTTTCCTATAATATGATTGCTACCTGTAGTGGAACGAAGGTGTTTTTTTGTTGTGTTGTGTTTTGTTTTTGGTCCAGTTCAAGAGACTACTGTACACGACCCAACTTCTTAATCTACTCAACTCTGCCATCGTATTTTTATTTTTATTAAAAGAAAAAGGGATGTTGAGAGACATTGCGTTGTTTTTCATACCAGTATAACTTTGCAAAGCATGGATTTTTTCCCCCTTCAGCCTAAACAACTCATTTACAAAGAGGTTAGAGATTAAAACCACGAATGCCTCAGTCCCCCATAACCTAAAAATGTGACAACAAACTTTTTCCAAGTTAAAAAAATTATATACATGGAGAGTACCATTGTTACTTCAACCAGTAATAGAACTTGAATTTCTAGTAGAAAAGCAAAAGCACCGTGCCTTAGAGCCAGAATTTATTTATTGATGCACAGCCTTCATCTTTTTTCCTTAAAAGTCGGTCTCATTTTATGTATTTTAAGCACAAAAGCGATTTTTTAAAAATCCTTTCTTTCCCAACGGGCTATTTGTATAGGATACATATCTAGCCTTCGACTCCTGGAATGTTTTTAGCTCCAGGCCTTTAAATTGTATTTACCGCAAGCCTGCTTCTAGTCCCAGGAAGTTTGTGTATATTTCACAAAAAAATTAGAGGAGCTGGAAGAAATGGAAATGTGAAATCGGAAATAGTAGGGCTTTTTGTTAAAGGTTAATCCATTCAAGTTTTGCCAAGAGCCTTGATCATTCTTCTCAACCTTTTTCCCTGCTCTGCTCCCTGGCTCCCTTTCCCCCATCCACCCTGCCTCACACCCCATTCATTCAGTTCTGCCTATGATTTTATCCAGAGAATTAGGACTTTACAATACTAACTACACTTTTGCTTCCTCTGATCTGCAAAAAAGTGCATGAGGCTGCACCACTGTGCTTTCCATTAAGTGGCAAAGAGATCGCACCACATAGAAAGTTTGCCGCTGAAGGGAATGTCTCCATGTGTCTCCAGTTCTATTGTGTGCGCGCGCCTGGGTCTGCCTGTGTGCCTGCATGCACACATCAGGGGTGCCTCCCTGTTCATCAAGTTTGTGATTCTGGGGAACACTGCGTGCTGAGGAGAAAATGGTTTCTGGTCTTTATTTCATTTGTCTTGACTTTATTTGATTTATGTGGTCTCTGGTCTTTATTTGATTTGTCTTGACTTTATTTGATTTATATGGTTTGGGAACTGCTTGCTATTCAGTATTTCTTACTGCTCCCTGCATTGTTTAATTATCTGATTTGGCTATCGCTTGAATTTTTAAATCTTAATGAAGGTGGGTTAGAATTTTAAAATTAGAAATTTTGCCTGGCACTTAATACTCTGAAAAGTCTGATTACTGTGTCTAACCTAATTTGCATAGGACCAGCATCTCAGTGAAAAATGGAAAGGACAGTATTTGTCATTTTCTCCAGCTTTTTTTCCCCCCACAAGGTGGCATTTGGCCTTGTTTTTGTTAGGCAAGCACTCTAACCACGCGAACCACACCATACCTCTTCATCTTAATGAAATACTAAATTCTTATTCACACTTTTTCCCCCTCTAGACATGTTTCTTAAGTACTTGTTTGTGATACAGTTTTCTCCATAGCTGAATTTGTACAATACCTTAAAAACAAACTTCACAGCATGCCATGTGACCCTTGAACCTCATCTATTTTGCTATTCTTTTGGGGAAATTATTGCAGATGAGATGAAGAAACATATCACTCAACCATAACAGTTATCCCAGTTTCATTAAATTTAGGAGCAAACAACTTTTAGGCCTTAGAGAGTAGCAAGAAAACATAAATTAGCCATGTGTTCTTGGCATAAATGTTTCGTATTTCCAAAAATCAGGGTGAAGTGACTGACTGACCTATAGCTTTTCAACTGTTTATTTTAGAGAATTATGAAGATTGCTAGAGGAAAAAGGGTTTTTACAGAAATTAAAAACAAAATGACTTTATCCACAACGTTTTTCTCCTTGTGAGGAGAGATGCTAAGTAGAAGCCTGAAGCAGAAGCTGGGCTACCTGTTCTATCACTTAAGACTTCAGCATTCCTGACCTTCAAACAAAGAAATTTCTGTTGCCACTGGTTTAAAATAGAAAAGAAACTTGGAGTGAAGAAAGAAAATCCAGGATTAGGTCCAACTCAAACTCTTCCTTATGAATTACTTACTCAAACGCATTTTGTTGATATTTCTTAATATTGTGGTAATGAACATTTTTGCCCTATTACACCACATGTTGAAGGTATGAATTTTTGTACTTAATTTGTGCTTAGTTTTGTAATGTTGAACTAAAAGGAAATTTCCATCCCAGAAGCTGAACTCATGAACAACATTTAAAGAACAGTTTTAAAAATATAATAAACCAACAACCCTTTTTCTTTTCACATAAATATTTACTTTTTTAGTGGTTTAAAACCTATTTTTGTCTTTGAGACTTTCAGTTAAAAACATACTGAAAAGTTTAAGATATTTATATTAGTGTTTGTGAGAAACATATTCTCAATTAAGTTTTAAATCTGTTATAACATAAAGGTGGAGCACTAAATGTTCTTATGTTTGTGTTTTCATTTTGTGTGCTGGTCCTGCGGTTTATACCTAGAGCCTGGGCTCTGTCCCTGGGCTTATTTTTGCTCAAGGCTAGTGCTCTACCACTTGAGCCACAGTGCCACATCTGGCTCGTTTGGGTAGTTTAGCAGAGATAAGAGTCTCACAGACTTTCCTGCTTTGGCTGATTTTGAACTGTAATCCTTAGATGTCACCCTCCTGAGGAGCTAGGATTACAGGTGTGAGCCACCAGCACCAGACTCACATTTGTTGCATTTTATTCTGTGACTCTCTTTTAAACATTAAGAATTTTTAAATTTCCTACTAAAGAATTTTTAAATTCATTTTCATCTACTTTTAAATATAGAATCAACACTTTATTGGAGATGTTTAATTAAGTGGTAGAAAACATTGCCTAACATTGGCAAACCTAGCACTGAGTTCTTGGATAAATACAAAAGTACATTTATATGATCTACCTTTAGAAGGGTATCTTTTTTTTTTTTGTCATGGGGTTTGAACTCTGGGTCTGGGCGCTGCCCCTCAGCTCTTCAGCTCAAGGCTAGCACTCTACCACTTGAGCCACAGCGCCATTTACGGTTTTCCTGTGGTTGATTGGAAACATGAGTCTTAAGGAGTTTCCTGCCCGGGCTGGCTTTGAACTGCAATCCTCAGATCTCAGCCTCCTGAGTAGCTAGGATTACAGGTGTGAACCACCGGTGCCCAGCCAAAGGTTTTGTGTGTGTGTGTGTGTGTGTTTTTAAATATTCTTGGATTTAAAAAGGAACATGAAATATCAAATGATAAAAAAGAACTATGAAATGATTACAAATCTGTGAACTTAGTATAATAGAAGTATCTGACCTGAAGAAGTAAAAGTTTCCAAAAGATGTTCGCCCCAAAGTATTGTTAGGTTCTATTTGGTGGAGGGCAAATTCCTTGAGCAAAGGTATAGGTAGATAGATAGGCAGATGGCAATCTGGTAGATAGATGGGAGGCCTCCATGTTGCTGTAGGAGGATCATGGTTTAAGGCTGGCATGGGCAGACAAGAGAGACCCTACTTGAAAAATAACTTCAGTCAAATAGGCTGGGGGCATGGCTTATGTGGTAGAGCACCTGCATAGGAAGCATAAGGCTCTGAATTCAAATTTGAATACTGCCAAAAAAGAAAACAAGATGTATAAGGAGAATGAGAAAATGTGCCAAGAGGAATTAACTTGTGCGAATTCTTTTCGTTAGTTTTTTTGTTTTTTTCTTTAAACAATACATTTATTTTGTATTGTTATTATAAAGTTGATATACAGAGGAGTTACAGTTATATAAGTCAGATGAAGGGTACATTTCTTTTTGGACAATATTACCCCTTCCCTTGCTCTCTCAGGAAAATTTGTCTTTTCTTTTTTGTTAGTCATGGGGCTTGAACTCAGGGCCTGGGCTCTGTCCCTGAGCTCTTTTGCTCAAGACTAGTGCTCTACCACTTTGAGCCATATCACCACTTGTAGTTTTCTGGTGGTTAATTGGAGAGAAAAGTTTTATAGACTTTTCTGCCTTGGCTGACTTTGGACTGTGATCATCAGATCTCAGCCTCCTCAGTAGCTAGGATTACAGGTGTGAGCCACCAGTGCCTGTCTGGGAAAGTTCTTCATTTAACTATCATCAAGAAACCTAAATTGGGAGGATTATGTGTGGTACCAGAATGTACTATAGATTTCCATACTTGTACTAGTTTATACTCTAACAGTATATGAGCATTTCCATTT